GTGGGAGTCCAGCGACAGCCACTATGCCGTCCGCTGGTCCAGCTCTGTCTCCCTTTGACGACGAAAGCTGCTCAGTAAACTGCCACTAAGCTGCAGGCCTGTCTGAGAGCAGACCTGGGGTCCAGAGCACGGGGCGGCCCCAGGTGCCCTCCTTGTCTCCCAGCATCTCCACCCGGGGCTCCCTCTGGCATCGGTCCCCACCGCTCCCCTCCCAACCTGCGCCTCCCCTCTCCCTTCCTCCTGCGGAGTGCAAGGCAGGTGGACGCCCCCCTCCCCAGCAGCTCCTCTCAGCCCTACCTGGGGAGCACACCTCTCCCCGCAGTCTCCCCAGCACGGCCCCCGTAAGCGGACCACACTGTTCTCGCACTGAGGGTCTTGAGGTGAAGAAGTGAGTTCGGAGCTCGACCAGGGTTCCCTGTGCCTGCTCCATGCCCCGGTGCACACCCAAGGCCCCTCTCCCTCCCCTGCCCCTAGGCTTTTCCTAGGGCTAGAGTCTGGCCTTCCCTCCAGAGCGGCCCTCCTCCCACAAGTGTCCCCACAACCCGTGTCCCGTCCCTTCACAGCCTCCAGGCCCCGCTCCGACTGGCCTTTTCCAACTTCTCCTGGACAGACTGTGGTAGGCAGGTAGCCGTGAGCGGGCAGCCCTCAGAGAAAAGCGGAAGGTTCACCCAGCCGCGGGCCAGGAGGGCAAGGCTGTTTGCCATCTTCCTTGGGGCCTGAGGGAAGCGCACAGGGCTGATTCGTAGAATTTCCTTTTACCAAAACCCCTAAGCAAGCGCTCTGGTCAGCACCCTAATTCCCATGAGGGCGATGGACTAACTGGGCAGTTTAATTGGGGCAACCTGGCTGGCATTGGGCACCATGTGCAACTAGGTGATCAAGGTCCTCGTTCTTTACCTGTGAGGAAGGTGCGCAGGTGCAGGGAAAAGCATGTGGATTGGAATTCAAAGGAAGGACACAGGCCGCGCAGCCTCACTGACGAATACGCATGACCTCACGCTGATGAATATTCATGACCTCCCACTGATGCGTATTCATGATTCTGGTAATAAACATCAGCTGGGCTGGCCGAGTATGGTGGCCACCTGTCCGTCTGCCTTCCCCGGGGTCTTCTGGGTGTGTTTCTTCTCTTTCCTATTACATCTTCTTCTCTACCTACTTTATCTTTGGTTAAGGTCTTTTGCGCCTAGGGACAGATCTCTGACTTCAGTGATCTGCACCCGAAGAACCAGGGATTTCAGAACGCAGCTTGACACTCTCCCATCCGGTAACAAGACCAACCTGGAGGGACAGTCCTGGGCAGGGAGCCAGGGGCCCTGGGGTGTGGCCAGGCTGCCCGAGTCACGGCACTCATCCTGGCGCCCAGCAGCGGAGGTTTGCCGAGCACCTCCTCCGCCTGCAGGCCTCATGTGGCAGAGACCCAGCCAGCCCTGCCTGTCCTGGGCATGCCTGTTGTTGCCATCCTCGCACCTCCCGAGCACCCTGCCTGCTGGTTTCCTCCTTAGGACCTCTGCTCCATTCCCTCCTTCCCGACTCTCAGCCCCGGTCCCCCCAGAGGACCTCGCCCTGCCCGCTGTACCCCTACCCTCTCACCCAGGCCTACCGCCTTCTCGGACCTCACGTTCAGTGAGGCTTCGCCGGGCGGGTGCCTTCTCTCTCTCACCACGGTGCGTGCCCAGGGTTCGAACACATCTGCACACTGCAGGGCATGCCTGAGCCCCGCGCGCTCAGAGAGACACACGGGGAGGCAGGCTAGGGGAGGCCCTTCATGGACAGGGATTCCGCAGCTCCCAAGGGCATGTGACAGAGCCAAGGGCCCAGCCTTGCCTCTGGCTGTAGGAGTCAGAGGGGACCTGCCTACGGCTCTGCTCGCGCCCTTCCTCCGCAGCAACACCTCTGCCACGGGCCGTGTGCACCCAGCTCCACTTCACCAGCTCACTCCCTCCTCAGATGCACGAATTTGGACTTGGCCAAATCGCTCCATTCAAACAGGCCTGAAAGCACCTTCTGCCTGCCGTCCCGCCAGGCCGGCGCTCTAGGCCTTCTGCCCACCCCATAGGTATTTCTGCTCCTTGTCCTTGCAGCCCTATCCCGGCTCTTCTGGGTGCAGTGCCTCAAGCTGATCCTCATTTGTCACTGATTTCTGGGTGACTTCCTCACTCAGACAGCTGCAGCTGTCACCTGGAAGGCTCCAAAGCCTTCCCGCCCACTTCACGGGCTCTCCTTGGGCACCGCGGCAACCCTCTGCTCCTGACTGGCTCGATGTCCCCGTCTCGGAGCACAGCCACATCTGACTCCAGGCCCTCTGCTCTGGGTGTGGTCTTCTGTCAGACGGGTCTGACCGCCGCTCCCCACCCACGCCAGACACTGCAAGGCCATCCCTGCCCTTGCCCTAACCTCCACATACAAGCCGTTACACAGTCCAGGCCCCTGAGCCCGCGAGCTGTTTCTCAGCTCTGCCCCTCTGGCTTCGCCACTGGCCCTGCATCCTGGCACGTCCTCACCGCCCAGAGGGCTGCAGTGGCCTGTGTACTGCTCGGCAGCTCTTCCCCCACCTGTCCCCAGCCTCCTTCCTTAAAGCCCTCAAGGGCCTTCTGAAGCACTGGGCACAGGCCCTGTCGCAGCTGGCCCTTCCTCCCACTCTGCCCTGGACAAGGCACTGGTGGCCTTTAAAGTGGACGCGGTCTTTGTGCTGGCACCGCAGGGCGAGCGGAAGTTCTGGCACCGGCCTGACCTGCTGCACTGCAGGGCAGCGTGAGCTGCAGGCAGCTGAGCGTCGGCCGGAGGCAGGGCAACGAGCTTAGAACTACCAGACTAAGAACCAGGGGACAACAGACGCCCCAGAGCCAGGACGACAGGAAATGCCCGGCTTGCCCTGGCTTCGCCCTTGCCCATTGCTGTATGAGAGTGACCGGGGGCACTCGGAGCCACAGTGATCTCCACTAGACGCCTCACCCCGCTCTGCTCGTGCGTATCCTCCCCACACCCAGCGTCGCTCCCACTGCCTCTTCCCACTCCAGCGGGCCTGCAGCTCCCTCAGCGCGCCCTCACGGCCCCTGCACAGGCCGGTCCTTCTGCTGGAAAGCTCTCCCCTCGCCAGGTGCTCCCTTCAAGTCCTCTCGCGACCACCACTTCCTCGGGGAAGGCTGATCCTGCCCAACGGAACCCACCAAGAGCTCCCCGGCCCAAGTGCCTTCCCTAGGCAGCGTCCCTCACAGGGGTAGCTCAGTCTCCACCTGTGATCCCGATTCTGGCTGCTCTGGCACACCGAAATGTCGCCGAGGCACGGGCAAGGCCCGCTGTTACCAGCACCGAAGCCCTACTCTGCCACGGCACCTACCGCGGGGCTGGAGCTCACTGTGCACATTCTGGAGGAAAGACACGCTGGTCCGACCGGTAGATCCGGCCAAAGCCTTCTCCTGTTAAGGGAGGTACTCAAGGTAGTGGTGTGGGCCCAGCGGGTGGCATGGCGGTTGGAGCGCTAGACTCCTCCATGGCCAACTACCGTTCAAGTCCCAGGCCTGGAGGCCTGAAACTCACGCTGGGTGTGTATGCACGTGCACCTAGAATCCCAGAGGAGAATGCAGAGGGACTGTGGGTGGCTCCCCCGCGGCGATCGCTCACTCTCTCTGTCTCTCTGGTGTGTGTGTGCATCCTATAGCAAAAGTCTCTCCTAAAAAAAGGGAGTGGTTCATAAGCTTGGAGGCTGCAAAGTCCAAAATCTGTAGGGCAGGCTAGAAATCCTGGTAGGGTGTGTGCCACAGTCCTCCTTCAAATTGCCAGAGGAAGTGCACTGAGAGTGGGAAAGCTGCCCGTGGGCCTGGCCGCGCCGCGACCCTCCTGCCTCCATGTCCCCATGCCATCGGGACTTGGGGCGCACACACATGTGCCTGGCATGTTTTCCAAGTTGCCAGGGCCAGGACTTGAACCACTTTCAGCTGTGTGAGATCCGGTTCACATAGCACAGTGCTTCCCCCCCATGCCATAGGCTAGGCCTCGGTTACGACCTTGACAAGGTTCCTTCTTCCCTGGAAAACCTGAGGTCCTTGTCATGGTTGTTTCGTTCTAAATCCTTCAACTACTGGGTGAGACCAACCCACCAACACAATGGAAGGTAACCTACTTACAGAAAACCTCTTTTTTTTTTTTTTAGGTTTTTGCCACAGGGTACATGCACTCACTGGAGAGAGACAAAGAGAGACGAAGTGAGACATCGCCTCTGGGGACAGCGCCACATCGCATTCCCTTCTCCATCCTGTCAGGATTTGGGGCACACGCACACGCACCCAGAGCGATTTTTAAGACGCTGGGTCCAGGACTCAAACAGTGGTCACCCACGTGAGAGTTCAGCGCCTTAAGCACCTCACCACCTGGCCCCAAAGACAGCCCTTTTTAAGATGTTAACCACGTCTGTAGAATACCTTCGCAGCAGTCTGGACTAGCGTTAACCAAATACCAGGCCTCACAGCCCAGCAAAATCGACATTACTATAACCGCAGCAGGCGCAGCAGCCCAAGGAGGAGGCGACAGTGAGGGCAGTCCATAGCCTCTCACAGGCTGCAGGGGAGCCCACCGAGACGCCCTAAAGCCAGGCAGGAGATGGGAGAGATCTCAGTCCTGGCCCCCAAGGCCAGAGCAACTCAGCTGGGACTAGTCTGGGGCCTCCGAGGAGGGGTGGGGCAGGCCCCTATTGTGAGGTCCAGGTAGAATGCTCAGCTGGACAGGTCTCAACCCTCGCCGGGCTTCTCCCTCTTCCTCGCCCCCACCCTCTGCCAGGGGTCTGCCATCTGGCCTGTACCAGACTCCACCATCCCCTCCCTGCCCCAGGAGGAGGTGTGGGAGCAGACTTCCGCAGAGCCAGTGCTGGCCATGAGGAGGCAGCCTTCCCAGCTTCCACAGCCACGCCCCTGGTGCTCTCGGACAGCTCTGGGGCGGAGCGTGCCACACGGACTGAGTCCTGACCCTTGCGATCAGCCAGGAAAGCAAGGCCTGGATTCCCAAAGGACTAAAGTCAGGGAAACTCAAGGCCTAGCAATCCGGGGCAGGGGAGGCCCTGTCTGGGGTTGGAACAGGGGACCTGAGGGCCAGCATCAGACATCCCACGCTGCAGGGAACCTGACGGTAGGATGGGGGACTCAGCCCAAGGACAGAGAGCAGCCCTGAGCCCTGGGCTGAGGACATTGCACACCAGTGCCCAGCGTCTGAGACAGCGTCTCCCACAGGAAGTGGCCGCTATGTCCAGGCAAACCCGAGGATGAAGGAGGGCACCCTGGCCGGGGGAGGGGGTGGGGAACTCTGCGTTCAGCTAATACCCACTGGTTATCTGCCTGCCGGACACCAGCCCCCTTGCAGGCGCGGCACCTCAAAGCCGTGGCACCGTCTCTGTGCTTGCTGCTAGGTGGCCAGGCAGCACAGAGGAGGTGTCATGGCAGACCCGCTGGGTACACCTGGTGGGCAGCGAGTAGCTCGAGTGGAGGAGAGGAGGCTTCACAGAGGAGGCACCCTGGGTGAAGGTGACCAGAGATATGGGGTGAGGACATTCCGGGGCGGCAGGGCCATGCACAGGCCTGGAGGCGTGGAGAGCAGAGGCTGTCAGGGCAAGGGGGCGAGGACGGAGGCCCAGCCTCTGACCTCACAATAGCCAGGGCCTGCTGGGCAGCCTGGCAGACTCTGGTGCCCCCTTCCAGCCCGGGCAAGGCCCGGGGCCGGCAGCCTCCAGGTGCAGCGCTGCACGTGGGCCGCACCCTCCTGCTGCCCTGGGGCATGTCTCTGCTCACCAATTACGAGGGCCTCCGGCACCAGATAGAGAGGCTCGTGCGAGAGAATGAGGAACTGAAGAAGCTGGTGCGGCTCATTCGGGAGAATCAGGAGCTCAAGTCGGCCATCAAGACGCAGGCAGGTGGCCTTGGCATCAGCGCGTTTACCGGCGGGCTTGGCGAGGCAGTGGCAGGCCCTTCCCCACGCCAGGGTAACTGTAAGTGGCTTGAGCCCAGGGAGAGCAGGGAGGGGAGGATGGGCTGTGCCATGGGGCTGCTGAGCGTGCGGGGTCTCGGGAGGTCATGGCGGGTGCAGATAGGACCGAGTGGCACGGCACTGAACCCTTTGGGAGGGCACAGGGCCCTGGGGTGAGAGTACCAAACTAGGCCGCCCCCACCGAGCAGCTCTGTGCGCTGCGGAGCCCAGCTCTGGCCCTGGGCTCAGCATGTCACTACCCTCAGCCTTCCCCTCCCTGCCGCCCCCTTCTGCCCCCTCGCCCTCCCTCAGAGCCGTCAGGTGACCAACAACCCGGCTCCAGGCACTGAGGGGAAGAGCCAGGAGAAGCCAGTGCCCTGGGGATTGTGGGGACTATGGCAGTGTGCCGGAAGCCCTGGGGGCAATTGGCCTGGTGTGAGACAGAGCCAAAGGAGTTGCAGGGTTTGCAGACAAGCAGCCAAAGCGATGGTCCAGGATTAAGCTCGGGGCATGGGACTGAGGCCAGGTCGCACAGCCCCCAAAGGGAGGTGCTGGAGGAGTGGGGAGCTGAGGGCAGTTGCCACTGGAGACGGCAGGGGAGAATTTCTGGGGGCGGCACGCTGAGGCCATGGGAGTCTGCAGATGACACGGTATGTTGGTGAAGACTACCATGACAAGAGCAGGCGTCCAACACCAGTGGTTCACTGCAGCCACATCCCTCCCTGTCCCCAGAGGCTGTCATTCCTCCTATCCGAGGTGGACGTGGGCTCCAAGCCCACCCACCCCTGAAGCAACTTGCCCTATCGCAGGCCCTACACCTCGCCCTCTGTCCACCATTTGGCATGAAACCCCCCTCCCTCCCTGAGAGCAGCAGCCTATTTAAGCCTCCACAGCTTGGCGACGGAGCAGACACTGCTGTTCCAGAAAGGCCGGGAAGCTCCCTGGGCCATGTGTCTGCCTGTCCCCACATGGCACTGTCCCTGGCCATGTGTCTGCCTGTCCCCACATGGCACTGGAGACTGGTAACACTCCGCTCCCTCTTTCTGAGTTGCCAGGTGGGTTGTTTATTTTTTTTTTTTTGGGGGGGGTTTTTGTAACAGGGCACATGTGCTTGCCAGAAAGCGAGAGACAGAGAGCAAGAAATCACCCCCCAGGGAAGATGGCCACGCTGCAATCCCTTCTCCTCCATTCTCTCGGGATCTTGGGCACGCACGCATGCGCGCCAGTCATGAGTTTAAGTCACTGGGTCCAGGACTCGAACTGCAGTATACTGCATGGGAGTCCAGTGTCATAGTCATTACGCTAACTGCTGGTCCCACCAGGTGGGTTGTTTGACTCCCTGACTCACCTTAATCGCTGCTGCTCCCAGGCTTGGCTCAGGCCCTGCCCGTTCCTCCTGAGTTGCTCACTGGCTACATGGCATCAACCCTCCACTGGAAGTGAAGGCCCTCTCAGAGGTCCCCGCAGGCCCAACGAGTCCTGGAACTTCACTCACTCCAAACCAGACACTCTGACGTGGGCCTGTCACTAAAGGCCCTCAGGTCTGGGCTCCCTCCCCTGCGTCCTCATCTCTGCCCCCACCCACTGGCCACCCAGCCTGCTGCTTCCGTCCCCTTCCTGCTCACAAGCATGCTGGCCCCTCCGGTTCGAGGTCATGCTAGCGACAGACAGGGTAAGGAGCGCCACATGCGGAGGAAACACAGCACTGATGAGACCTCACCACTGACCGCGGCTTCAATCAGGTGGGCCTGATTCCCGTTTAAATCTCATGCCTGAGCTCTGTGAGCTGCAGCCTTTCCGAGGGAGTGGTTGGGTGCTCACCTTCTTAGATGTTCTCGTCTGTGGTGCCCCTGGCACCGGCGAACCCCTTCAATGCGCCGCACTTGCAGCTGGTGCATGACGGCCTCGCAGGTCCCCACGGCAGCCTCGGCGCTCCTGCAGCCTCGGCGCTCCTGCAGCCTCGGTGCTCCTGCAGCCTGGCCATTGCCACTGTGGAAGAGTACAGCCGTGAATACGGCTCCATGGAGATTTACGCACCGCGGCTTTGGTGGGTCTCCAGCTGTGTCATTCCCCTGGACTTAGTGAAATACCGTGTGCAGGTGGACCCCCAAAAGTACAAGGGCATATTTAATGGATTTTCAGTTACGCGTAAGGAAGATGGAGCTTGTGCTTTGGCTAAAGGGTGGGCCTGGCCTTCACTGGCTACTCCACGGGAACTCTGCAAGGCTGGCTTTTATGAAGTCTTTCAAGTCTTCCCCAGCGACGTGCTTGGAGAGGAGAGTGATCTCTGGCACACTTCACTGTGTGTGGCTGTCTCTGCCGTGCTGGGTTCTCTGCGGACATTGCCCTGGCTCCTATGGAAGCTGCTAAGGTTCGAATTGAAACCCAACCGGGTCATGCCGACACTTTGAGGGATGCAGCTCCCAAAATGTGTAAGGAAGAAGGCTTAAATGCTTTCTGCAAAGGGCTGCTCCTCTTTGGATGAGACAGGTACCATACAGCCTGCTTTGAACACACTGTTGAGGCATTGGATGGACAAGTTCATGGCCCCCAAGCCCCAAGTGAATGCACAAAGGCAGCGGCTGTAATGGTGGCAGGGAACAGCTGGAGTCTGTTTCTCGCCCTGCTGGTTCTGTGGAATCGGTGCAGAATAAAGACCAAGGTAGCAGTGCTCCCCAGGTCTGCAGAGACTCGGATTTAGAGGGTATGGACGGGACTCTGCCTCGCTCTAGCAGTTCATCTAGGACTCCGCGCAGCTGTGCTGCAGACATCCCCTGTCCTCCTCCACCTGAGATGCCAGTCTCTGAAGAAGCAGCTGGGGTTTACTCAGTAGACACATCAAAGCAAGTGTGGACTGAATCTGCTTGATCAGTGCTGAAGAAAAGTGCAAACGGAAGCTTTGTATATTTGACAATGTCGGAGATTCTATTCCTGATGTAATTACTGTAGTACTCTCGCTTAAGGCAAGAGTTTCATATTTACTGTTGGAATAAACCCATCTGTTCATGAAAAGAAAATGCGGTGCATGATGGAGCACGCGTGCATGCGGCAGACGGGGAGCACCCCTGCAGGGCCTGGCCGCTGCTCCGGCCCTAGCCCTCCGGCCCGCTGCTTCCTGAGCACTTGTGTGTGTCTGGCGTCGTCCATGCCGACCAGGCTGGGTATTCAAACTGTGGTCGCCGTGTGGATTCCAGCTTCTCTTGCGCAGGGCATTCTCTCGGAGCTGGCTCTGGTTTGATTGGTAAGGGGATCTCTGGGCCACTTTAGATCTCCCACTCTCAAAGGGGCAAGCCTCGGGCCCTGAGGCAGAAGCAGTGACAACCAGAGACGGCTCTGGTCCAGTCCAGACTGCGCGTGGGTCAGGACGGCACGGCTGTGTGGTGGGGGTGAGCGCGTGTGCGAATGCAGCGGGAGTGTGGGTGTAGTGTGTGCAGTGTGATGCGTCCATGTGGATTGTGCAGCGCCTGTGAGGTGTGGAGAGTGTGTACGAGCATGACAGTACTGGACCGTACGTGTGTCCAGTTTTTTTGTAAGCTTTGCTATAGAGCATGTGCCCTCACCAGAAAGAGACAGAGACAGAGAATTACCCTGTGGCCACAGCACAGTTTTTTCTCCTCCATTCTTCTCTCAGGATTTTGGGCACATAGGTACATGTACTTAGCGTGATTTTCAAGCCTCAGGGTCCTGGACTCAAACCACATAGTCAGCATCTTGACCGCCATGCCATATGCTGGCCCAACGTGTGTGCTTTTTTCTGAAGGATTATTTATTTCATTTTATTTATTTGTTTTAATTTGTTATAGGCATGTGCACACAGCAGAGAGAGGGAAGAAACGTGCGAAAGCCACCAGGTCCGGCGCTCGGACCACGGCCCGCACTGTACCCAGCACAGCGCTCGCTAGCCCACGCGTGCTTGGTTAAGAGACGTTCTTATTATAGAGCGCGTGTGCTCTCCAGATACAGAGAGACAGAAAGTGAGAGATCACCCCCGGGGGGAGGCTATGCCGCAATTCCTTCTCCTCCATTCTCCTTTCAAGATCTCGGGCACGCACATGCCCAGTGTCAGTTTGAAGCCTTTGGATCTGAGGCTCAAACTGCACTCAGCTACATGGGAGTCCAGTGACGTAACCACCGCACCATCTGCGGGCCCGGAGTGTGCTTTTTCTAACGGAAGTGTTCCTGTACACGTGCACGCATGGCAGAGAGACAGGAGAGAAACAGCCTGGCAACGGAGCCTGCTCACGCCAGAACCGCCTTCCACTTCAGCTCAGCAGGGCCCTGGGCACATGCTCTCTTTTTTTCTTTTTTCTTTTTTTTTTTTTTTTTTTGAGAGGTTTTTGCAATAAGGCACGTGTGCTCGCCAGAAGGACAGAGAGAGATGGAGAGACAGAAAGCGAGAAATCACCCCCGGGGGGGACGGCCACACCACAGTCCCTTCTCCTCCACTCTCCTCTCAGGATCCTGGGCACGCACACGTGGGGGCACACTCCCATGCGTGCTTTCCAAGCCGATCAGGCCAGAACTCGGACACTGCTGCATGGGAGATCTGGCCTCCTCTGCATAGCGTCTCACCGCGTGCCACAGGGCTGCACGGAACGTGGGCCTCGAGGGTGTGCGAGAGAGTGTGGGCATGTGCTATGAGTGTGGGCCCCTCTGCCGCAGCGTGCTAAGAAGTAGGACTGTCGCCATGCAGCACCACACTCGGCTCTTCGGGGCGGGCGGGGAACGAGTGTTTGAGTTGCTTGAGATAGCGTGTGAGTGTGTGGGAAGCAAGGACGTGTGCGTTGAGGGTGCTGGAACATGTCTGTGAGCATGTCACGTGTGCATAGCGCTCGCATGTGTGTGTCCCTGTGTGTCGGGGCCAGTGACAGGCGAGCAATGCAGCTAGAGAGGTCTGCGGCGGTCAGATCAAGGCCAGCAGCAAGCAGGCACGGGGGCTGGCAGAGAGCGTCTGTGCTTCAGAAGACCGTGGTTCCCATGGGGACAGAGACCGAGGCATAGACTCTGACTAGGTCAGGCTGA